GAGAGAATAATGATAATATCTTTAATAATAATGTTATGATAATAATGATAATGATAATAATAATGCTGAAAATGGTGCTATTACTGCTAAGAAAGATAATAAAAGTAAAAGTAATTATGACAATAGTGATAATTAGCAGAATCACGATAATGATAGTAACAAGAAAACAACAAAGATAACGAGAAAACTTCGATAGTATTCGTAATATTAACGACAGTAATGAAAATGGTAACAGTAATAGTGATTATAACAATAACAATGATGATAACAATAATCATTTAGATAATAATGATAATGATAATAGAGATAATTATAATGGTAATATATAAATATAGGGCTAATAATGATGATAATGATGGTAACGATGATAATAAAACTATAGTAATGATACTATTACTGATAATAATGGTGATGATAATGATAATAATGGCAACAATGATAATAACAAATGGTATAAAGATATCATTATCATTAATCTTATTATAAACGTCACCTAACAATGATAATGAAAACGGTGGCGATAATAGCAACATTTATAATAGCAGAAGTAGTTGGAAAGTTGAGGCATATTTTGTAGCCAAGCAGTAAGCCTTTGTGAACAGACTGATAGTAAGACCGAGGTTAATTCTAGTTTGGCAAAACTGATACAAGAACTGCATCCTAATAACACTAGCAATGGATGACAGGACAACCTTTTTTTATAAACTGGTCAAATAGTACATGGTATTGTACATAGTGCCTGATAGTATCAATATTTACTACTTATTTATTTATTTTTTTTTATGATATCTTCTAGGGCGATGACAAAATCACTGAAGGAACAGGTCAGTCTTATCCTATCGTCATTCTTTTCTTCATTATTCCAGTAAGGTGCCAGAGAGAATAAGTAAGTGAAAAATAAAGATAGCGAATTAAATAAATATGTAGGTATATAGGTAAACAGAGAGAGAGAAGAGAGAGAGAGTGAATGAGTGAGTGAAAAAGAGAGATACATAAATAGAGTGAAAAAAGTAAAAAGAGCGAGAGAAAGAGAGAGAGAGAAGGTGGAAGAGGTGGGATGATTCAAATTCAAATTCAAAATACTTTATTCCATTAAATACAATGATTATTCCTTTCACAGAGAAAGAGATTACATATAAATATAAGATACGCATAGAATTATTGACAGTACATAGTCATGCCTATTCGTATATATTGAAGCCTGGTGTCACTGGTGATTTAAGAGATTTTCTTTTAATTTCTTTTTGAATGTATTAGAGTTTCTGATATTTCTGATATTATTTGGTAATTTGTTCCAAATCATGGATCCACATGTAAGTGTCTGCCGTGGCCCTATATCTGAATGTGATCTTTTGATGTGTAGAGAGTTTACCTGTCTTGTATGGGCACAGGTTGTGTTTCCTACGGTTGGAAGCCATTTTGGATAAAACCCTTGAATTATTTTGTGAATTAGTACGCAAGTGTCATAGTTACATTTGTTTTGTACTTTTAGCCAATATAGTTTAGTGGTCATACGTATTGACATTACCAAGCGCTACTCTCGCAGCAAAGTTCTGTAATTTTTGAGAGAATAAGTAAGTGAAAAATAAAGATAGCGAATTAAATAAATATGTAGGTATATAGGTAAACAGAGAGAGAGAAGAGAGAGAGAGTGAATGAGTGAGTGAAAAAGAGAGATACATAAATAGAGTGAAAAAAGTAAAAAGAGCGAGAGAGAGAGAGAGGAGATGGAAGAGGTAGGAGAGGAGAGAGAGAGAGGAGGGGGAAGAGGTAGGAGAGGAGAGAGAGAGAGAGAGAAAAGGTGGAAGAGGTAAGAGAGGAGAGAGAGAGAGAGAGAGAGAGAGGAGATGGAAGAGGTAGGAGAGGAAGAGGATGAGAGAGAGAGAGAGGAGGGGGAAGAGGTAGGAGAGGAGAGAGAGAAGAGGAGGATGAGAGAGAGAGAGAGAGAGAAGGTGGAAGAGGATGAGAGAGAGAGAGAGGAGATGGAAGAGGTAGGAGAGGAAGAGGATGAGAAAGAGAGAGAGAGAAGGTGGAAGAGGTGGGAGATTCAAATTCAAATTCAAAATACTTTATTCCATTAAATACAATGATTATTCCTTTCACAGAGAAAGAGATTACATGTAAATATAAGATACGCATAGAATTATTGACAGTACATAGTCATGCCTATTCGTATATATTGAAGCCTGGTGTCACTGGTGATTTAAGAGATTTTCTTTTAATTTCTTTTTGAATGTATTAGAGTTTCTGATATTTCTGATATTATTTGGTAATTTGTTCCAAATCATGGATCCACATGTAAGTGTCTGCCGTGGCCCTATATCTGAATGTGATCTTTTGATGTGTAGAGAGTTTACCTGTCTTGTTTGGACACAGGTTGTGTTTCCTACGGTTGGAAGGGTTAATAGCCATTCTGGATAAAGCCCTTGCATTATTTTGTGAATTAGTACGCAAGTGTCATAGTTACATTTGTTTTGTACTTTTAGCCAATATAGTTTAGTGGTCATACGTATTGACATTACCAAGCGCTACTCTCGCAGCAAAGTTCTGTAATTTTTGAGAGAGAGAGAGAGAGAGAGAGAGAAAAGGTGGAAGAGGTAGGAGAGGAGAGAGAGAGAGAAGTGAGTGAGGTAGGAGAGGAAGAGGATGATAGAGAGAGAGAGAAAAAGGTGGAAGAGGATGAGAGAGAGAGATAGAGAGAGAAAAAAGAAAGAGGAAAGTAAAGAGGAGAGGGAGATAGGAATGCAATATTTTTTGTTTGTTTGTTTGCTTATTTGATTGTTTTGCAGAACAAAATGGTACAAATCATATGGAATACAGATTGTGATCTGAGGATAAGGATTGAAATAAGTTGGTTTCAGAATTAAATTGATTTGTTCCGCTTATGTCAATAGAGCCTCATTTGACTATTTGTTGTTATTTTCTACCTTAGATCTTAATATAAACAAAGCTATAAGGCTTTATTAAACCAAGCACATTTGTATGCATATATGTGTATTTAAGTTAGTATCCTTTCGTGCGTGATTGTGCGTCAACAGGAAAGGCCTAAGATAGTATACGGACATAACCAGGATACAGGAGAGATAAGAGATCAAGAAACAAAAGCTGGAATAATTATGTCCCAGCCTTTCTGTATCCTGGTGGAGAGAAAAATCTAAAGAAATATATCGTTATTCTACTTATCACACACCCGCACGCACGCACGCACACACACACACACGCACGTACACAGACACACATACACACACACACACACATATATATATGTATATATATGTGTGTATATATATATCTGTCTTTCTCTCATCATATATATATACATATATATATATATATATATATATATATATATATATATATATATATATATATATATAAGTATATATATATACATATACCAGTAATTATGATAATGATAGTAATAGCAACAATAATAATGTAATAATAATAATGATGTGAAGTTAATGATAAAATTCATGGTAATAATTATGATAATAATGATAATGATAAAAATATCAATGATAATAATAATAGTAATAATGATAAAGTAGTTTATTTTACGTCGCACAATAAAACCTTAGCACAATGAAGTAAAAAAAAAGTTAAGTTAAAACCATCTTTAAGAATTACGTTAAAAAGGATTAAGAGCAAAAGAAACGCAAAGGTAAAAGTAAAATGAAGACTTTTAAAAACAATCTTAAACTCAAGAAAGGAACATGCTGTGTAACTTTAAAGTAAAATAAACCATAAAACTTAGACAAAGAAATGCACTCGTAGCTATTAATGATTGTTATATAAAAGTATGATCACATCTAGCTCCTATAAGCGAGTCAAGGATACCTCAGACTTAGCTTTATCTTTTTGTAGCTTCCGGGGGCGTCGAGCCGGTTTCACTCAGAAAAATAGAAGGAAAAACAAACGCCAGGTCTCTGCTGCGGTCTCTGCCGAACTGTTTATTTTTCGCGGCCATTGGGGGGTGAGGGGGTGACAGTGACGTCACTATATACAGATTTACAAACGGAAAAGAAATTAAAAAAAAAACCTGCCCGTATTGATAAATGATAGGTAATTTAGTTAAAATGAGAAAAATATAAAACCACAATAGCCAACATGAGTAAAATAATAGATAAAAATAATAATTGTAAAAATGCTCACCCTTATCACTAAAACATGTATATGATATATGCAAGATTAATTAAAACAAGGAAACTAAAGGATAATTAAAACTAGGGCTGCCGACAAAGAACTGCGCTTAAAAAAAGTAAAAAGTAAGCTAATTAAAATGAAACGAAAACCAAAGAAAATGTACAAAAAAGGGCAAACTAAAACAAACAAAACCACGACAACCATGGATAAAACTACTAAAGATACGAGTAAAAAGGGGGTGGAATCCGGCAAGTGGAAGAATGCCGTGACGGGAAAGTGCAGTTTGTCCGACCAGGGAAGCGCGCTGGGGGAGGATGCTCGCCGTCGCGAGAGATAACGTCGCGCGTGGCGACCAGCCACACTACAATGAAAATAATGATAATATTAATAATAATAATAATAACAAAAATGAGGATAATGATGAAAATAGTAATGATGATAACAACCATGATAATGATAATTGTGATGATGATTGTAATAAATAATACTACTGCTATTAATAATAATAATAATAGTATTAATAATAATAATAACAATAATATAGATAATAAATACTAAAGATTACACTCGTAATATTAAAAATAATTATATAAATGATAATTGTGCCGATTATAATCAAACAATAGTAATTAGGATGATATTGAGGATGAAAATAATAGTCGTAATAATGATAATTACAATAATAATAATAATTATTATTATTATTATTATTATCACTATTATTATTATTGTCGTTATTATTGTTATCATTATTATTGTTATTATTATCATTGCTATTATCAGTTATTAATAATGATGACAATAATAATAATAATAATAATAATGACAACAATAACGGTAATAATCTGAAAGTAAAAATAATAATATTAAAATATTATTAAATTATTAAAAGAAAGATGTCGCTATGGAGGAATGATTTACGTAATGGCATGGAATTCCCAAGACCTGCGTTCGAGACTGTTCCATGTCAAGAGTGGAATCACACGTAGGTCCTTTTTTTATTTTCTTATATAAATAGTTCTGACAAAGAGGATGAATATGAAAATACTCATGGCAGTTGATATAATCAAATATAATTTCAATTATTAACATGTAGACCCGGACAGATGAGGAAGCCACAACTTTCGTAACAGGAAATTTCACGATAAGAGAGGAAATATCAGACTTCGTTATGTTGTGGCAGGTGAGACGTAACGAGTTTTTTTTTACTTTTACGAAACTTATTCTGGAAGCCTCCTTTTTGAGCCTCAAAATCATATAAAACATGAATGCGAAGGACTAGACGATTATGCCCCATTGTTAAATGCGATTTGACTCCCGGGAGGCGGGTATTTGATTGTCTGAGGGATTGAACACCTGCTCATGGGATTTTCAGCGATTTGGGTTATAAATGCTGAGAGACGAGTGCGACAAAATGATTACATGTACATCTCCCTCTTTGCAAGAATGGGTTAACAAATTGATTTTTTGATGAGTGCACAACGTTTGTTATTTAATGACAAAAACGTCGCTGTTTGCCATACCTTTTTGCATACATATATACTACTGTTATTTTCATTTTCTAACTCCCTTAGATAAGCTCATGTTCCTGGGAGTTTCTCGTGGTTAAATTTAATGCGTCTTGCACATTCTGCCCGAGTGTTGACATATGCTGTTCTTGACATACGCTGTTCTTGTTCTATCCTGCACAGGATACATACTTTGCCCCACAATCACACAATCTTAGTTGAACGCAATTTTTAGTTGAACGCAATGCACTAATACATAGTCGTTTGTTTTATTCTTTTACAGCGCCCCCCCCCCCCTACACTCCTTGCGGCTGTTTTTATCACTTCCATAGTTTTCAAAAGTGCCGCCGTGTCTTGGAGTTTTTGAGACAATGTGATTGCATCTACAATCTACTTGGCTATAACTTGGCGTCATACTTTATGAAAAATTACTCTTTTCGGGAACGCTGGCGTACACTCGATGAGCTATTGGCGTACCTCCGGCGTGACTTTTACACAGAATGCACCCTGGTAGGATCCTGAATATAACAGAGGCAGTGCACATATGACAATATTTACAATCCTCAGAAAGATAAAGCGATAACGGAAGAAACATCAAAGGTAGAATTACAAATAGTTAGATATAAAAGCCCCAAGATAAGAATTTTATAATGGAGCGTCACACCGTTTAAATTTACTTAACAAGCTTTCGTTTTCTTTGAATAATGAAGTTAGGGATACCTAAATTACATCTTCTATCGGGGAAGGTCATGCTCTTCATCCGAAATTAAAAAATAGTAATAATAATAATAATAACAACAACTACAACTACAACAACATCAACAACAATAATGATGTTAAGACTGTAGTCTATGAGGAAGGCAACCCAGAACTTTAGGGGGCAAACACAGTATTGAGGTGGGGGTTGGGGGGAACTGCCCCCCAATCGACGCCCCTAAACGTATACTCAATAATAATAGTGATAATAATAATTATTATTATAATAATGATAATAATGATAATAATAATATAGATAATAATAATAATGATAATAGTAATAATAATAATAATATATTATTATTATTATTATTATAGTAATAATAATAATAATTATTATTATTATTATTATAGTAATAATAATAATCATTATTATTATTACTATTACTATTGTTGTTAATATAATTCTTATTATAATTATCAATATCATTAACCCATTCCCGCCGGGCATGCCATGCCATGGCCACTGTGAGATTACTTGTTGGATTGTTTTCACACATAGATGGCTACACTTGTATTAAATCACCAATGAGCCAGTTACGAGTACCGCCTGTCTCGCCCGTTCACCCTTTTCTTTGATTTACGAAATATTTTACGTTATCTTATTTTGCTGTTACTAATGTTAAAAAGCATTATGAAAATCATAATGTTTATAATAAAAATAACACCATCGATATTCATGGCACTAGTGAAAAATACGTTTTTTCCCGCCATTTCAAATCAGGTGCTAACAGAGCCATCTATGGGCAGACATTTAACAAAAAAGTATAGAAAATAGGCACAGCATTTTCCCCATTTTTTGTTCAGTTTCCCCGGCGGCAATGGGTTAATATTCATTAATGATGGATATAATCAAATTGATAGTAATAATAATTATCAAATAAATTATGTTAAGAAATAGTGACAATGAAATTAACTAGTAACATTAATAATAATGATAATAAGAGTGATAATAAGAATGATAATAGTAATAACAATGAAAATAATAACAATAATAACATTAATGATTAAAATGATAAAATTAATAACGATGATAATAACAATAATAATGATAATGACAACAATGTAGATGATAATATCATTGATAATG